ATAGCCCCTAAGGATTTCCAAAAATATTAACAATGTTTAATTTTTAATATGACAAAAGGGAAAGATTATTTAAAACATGGCTGAAAATAAATTATATAAACTGTATTTAATTTTAATTAAATAATTAAAAATAAATTAAATTAAATTAAATTAACTTCACATTACCTTTGTGGACTGAAATGCAATCAAAAACAAAATTGAGTTCTCTCTGGGTACCAATTGTATATATTTTGCATTCACAAAGTACAAAATTGGATTAACATGAGTTTCCTCTAATTGTACAGAAAATTAATACGTTTAAGATCCAGAGCAGAACAAATTGTGTGTTTTTGTATATGCGTTAGAAATCTACAGCAAAATTAAAAGTTTGTTTTGCATATGATCAATATTGAATTGCAAGAAAAAATATTTCCCTTGTAGTTTGAAACATAAAGAAAAATACTTTGTCCTCTTTAAGTGATTCTCTTAATTATACTTTAACTGGATGGTGGAAAACCCAAGATTGCTACATATATTGAGTTAATCTCCTTTTGTACTTACATCTCTATGATCATAATTTGATTATATTAATGAAACTCTTTGTGATTAATTTCACTAGCCAAAAAAAAAGTTTGAACATAAGACATAGAATTACAGACTTAAAGACTGCCTATTTGTACTTTTTCCAAGAAGTAATATATAATTTTAAATTTTACTTTGAAATGTAAGCATTGATAAGAATACTTAAGTTCAAATGGTATATTTATGAAAGGGTAATGCATACACATTTTTAACCTTTTTGCCTTTCTTTCCCACTTCCCCCAAGAATGCAAGCAAAGGTTTCTTTCTTTGTTTGTTTATTGTTGGAGAAATGGAAATTGATTGTATATATGCATCTCTTATAACACATTGAATTGAGAAAAAAAGATTACTTGCAGTTTTGATTTTTAGTAGAGTTTGAACTGTTATATTAAATTTTGCTACTGAGATCAGCATTTTCAAGAGAGCAAACCTCCAGCTGAATAATTAGAAGATGTTTGGAATACAATATAGCTGGCATTTACGATATATAGTTCATTTATACTTAATGTGCATTTTACCCAGAATATAAAACCCTTTTGTAGACCAAGTCAAAATTTTGCATTCAACAGACTTCTGAGTGAAATCCAAATTCTACAACTTACATTCTTACATTCTTACATTCATCTAGTAACACATTCCATTTCTTCTCTAGAAAATCTCCCAGTATGTTCCAGCAAGTCCCTTCTGTAAATTAAATCTGAATGTCCATGGGAGTTGCTCAGGGAAGGTAGAATTCAATAGCATATTACTGTTCACTTTACTCACAGGCAATGGATTCAGTATCTATCAACCAAGAATTAAGAATAATATTAAATCGTCAAAAATATCAAAAGTGGAAATATGATACTTAAGAACACAATGGGCATATTCATCTAAACTCTTAACAGCCTCTAAACCAGGATTTCCCAAAGTGGCCATTACTGATGACTTAGGGATGATAGGATTAATTATTCTTGTTATATGATTGGATGCAGTAAGCCAGATGTTTAGATTGGATATGGCATTTTTATCTACCTAACAAGTACTTTTCAATTATCAATAAATAGTAATTACTAATAATTGGAAAGTATTAGTTAAAGTGGTATTTATTACATTATTTTCATACATGTTTGAGAGTTGATGTTCAAACTGAAACTTTATAAAGGGATTGATGAACTGCTATAAACTAATAGATATTGCATCATCATAAATTTTGTGGTACTACAGTCTTCCCCTACAGTCCCAGTATATCTGAAGAGTGTTAAGTCAATAATTTATCCATGAAGTATTGCTTTTTATTTATGCTGATACTAGGTATCAACTTTCCTGGGCAACTCAAAGCTATACTATTCTGAAAAAAGGAGAAAACATTATGTATTTCATCTGCATTGAATACTTCTCTATACTCTACATATCTCCTATTAGTTTTATTACATTATATTGATCAATCATTTTATCAAAATTAAACATTCCAAGCAAATAAGATTGGAATGTTTACCCCAGCATAGAAACACTTATCCCATAATTAGATATTTCAAAATCTTTTATCATTTTAGCAACAGGAGAAACAAATATAACTGTAATCTACAGCGAGACTATCAGTTTTTGTCTCTTCCTTAGGAGAGGAAACAGGTACAGATTTGAGGAGAATATTCCATTATGTGTTTCATTGAAGGGCAGTTCCTTAATTATTAATTCGCTTTTCCATGAAGCTTATTGTTTAACTCTCTTTATTCACTTACATATTTATTGTCCTTTTTTGTTTACCTGAAGTGGTAAGTTTTGATTATAAGCTCCTTGGAGCAAAGACTTAACTGTTATTTTTAATATTACTTATAAAATATCATGTGCATGTTTCAGTCTTCAGGAGTATTATACAATGTATAACAAACATTAATACAAAACCAAAACTAAATAAAAGCAAATATTTATTTATTTAGTAACCTCAAGAGGCATAGCTGACATACAATAAATAAATACAACACAAAACCACACAAGAAATAGAAAAATAGCACAGCGTTAAGAATACATGTCAAAAAAACAACACAATTACCCAATCAATCAGTTCAAATCAGGATCACAAGTGAAGATACTCTAGTGAAATCACTCTATTGAATGAGCCAAGATTTCAAGGCTTTTCTTAAAGAAAACAGGATCAAACTATGCAAAGCTTTACGAAGAATACTGCGCCTACAAAATGCTACAAAATGAACCAGATTGCCAAACTGATGGCAAATTCACATTTCCATGATCCCATGAATAATGTCAGTTCTTTTAAAATATTTATCATGTTTGGTTATATTTCTGAGTCAAAGCAGTTAACAGAGATAACAATGTGATTACCTCTTCATAATATTGGAAATTCTAATTTTATTCTAAATGTTTCTTTTTCAAATTCTCCTTTCATTTTTGTCTCCCAAGTTCTCAATTCAACTCTCCTATCCCATCTCAATTCAACTCTCACCTATGTGAATTGCATAAAGGAAAAAAAAAATCAACCCAACCCTGCCCCAATTACATCACTGGCAGGTATAAACTTGCTCTTCAGAGTTGATCAAAATGAAGCTTCTTGATTTTAAGATTGTGCAATTAGCTATTCAAAGAGGTGTTTTTCTTTTTTAAGATAGTTTTATTTGCCCAAGTCATGAAATACTTACATCACTTTTGTTTAGTTCATGTAGAATATTTTCTAAGTTACCTTTTTTTTCCTCCCTCCGAAAAGGCAATGAAAGGAAACAGAGGAAAAACTCAGGGCAGTATAGAAATTCAATAATAAATAAATAAATAAATAAATAAATAAATAAATAAATAAATAAATAAATTTTTCTCCATTGGAAGACTTCCAAAATAAAGATGATTTGCCTGGAACCAAAACTGGCTGCTTGTTCTCAAAACTTCACAAAGTGAAAGAAATTAAAGAGCAGACAGAAAACCATCAACTGGCCAACATATAAATTACAGGAATCCTTTCCACTACTTCCTTGATACTTTAACTTATTTAACAACAACAGCAACAACAAAAAAGCTTTGTTCACAGACTTAACTGTAGGCCAGGTGAAAGGAGAAGAAACTATTGCCTGAAAACACATTAAGGCAAATCCAGCAGAAGATAAAATGGCTCTCAACCAAGTTAATCTGAAAAATTATCTGGGCTGGGAACAACACATTTTTTTCCCTTCCCTTCCCAGACCATGATATAACTATTTATTTCACTATACTACATTTAACTACATTTTAGAAAAATATAAAGCACCTAGTAGTGAAAGGTTTATTTAAAAAAATCAAACAAAAACACATATTTTGAATTTATAATTTCAAGTCTGTACAGAATTCTGATTCTTGGGGTCAGACATTCCTATGAATCACTGGTGGTTTTCCCCACGTTACAGGAAGAGCACAATAATTTTTCAGCAATACTTCTGTGCAGAGTATGTACACTCTTGTGAAACTCACACATCAGTCTTTTACAGGGGTCATATAAACAAGAGGTCAGTCTCTTCTGCCAAGTTCTAATCCCTGTTGAATTTTCAAGGACTTGAGATTTACTCTTTCAAAAAGAGGAGTGCCTTGAAGCTTTTGGTTATATTCTTCAGAATAACAACCAGGAGAATCTTGTATCTAAACCTTAATAGACTACTTGCAGCAATATAACTACAGAAAAATATCATCCAATGAAGTATAAAAGATGTCTATGAAGAAGCATAGGACAAAATTTGAGTTTAGGGCACATGACACATATATGGTTCACCATTCAATTAAATATTAATCTTTATTTATTTTTTAAAAAGCTGTTCTTGTTTTCTGATAATTTTCTGAGATTGTGCTAGCAAAAAAAAAATATGAAAACAATGGGAGGGTGACTTTACAGCTCTGTGGTTCTTTTGTTGACTTGTCACCTTCATTAGAGTGACCAAGCTCACCTTCAAAAGCCTGAAGTCAAAATGGGAAGGGAGTAGGGGAAGTATTTCTTCCACCTTGGGCCTCTTCCATCACTTAACATTTAATAAGTATCAAGAGTAATTTCTGAAACTCACATTTTGATAATCAATGATGAGACAGACGCGCTAAATCTTAAGGAGACAAAAGAAAATCTCAAAATATCCTCAAGATAATGTTATACTTAACTCACCAGAGTTACAGTGTGACCAGAGTAACTTTATAGTGGTAAAGTTAACGAGTGCTTTTAATCACATGCGAAATACAGAGATGGTAGGAAGTCATACTGGCCTAGCTTAATAATGAGGGAATGCAAATGATCGCTGGACGCTCTTGGCCAAAGTGATTATACAGAGGCCACAACATGAACATAACCAAACATGTGCAAAGTGTGCTCCTGAACAACAGCTTTCCCACCATACATCCAGAAGACAGATTCCAGGCTACAGCCCAGTCCCTTTCTTGGCGAAATTCCCATACGCGGAATTGGGTGGGTGACTTGCTCCTTCTCGTCTCAGACTTACCTTTCTTTTGGTCTATAGCAGAGCTAAAGGTGCTCAATAGCAAAGCGAAGAGGACAACAGCAGTAGAGACCCGTGCCGACCGTAAAGTTTCCGCGCCTGTTGCTGAAACTCCCGGAGATCGGCGATTTCCGTGCCCCATCCTGGATGTGTGCGGCAACAATCCGGAGCGCCCGCGCTCGGCAAAGTGAGGCTATGGTCCGAGAGTGTGAATCCTCTCGCTGCGCTTTTTCTCGATCGCTCCCTCGCTAACTCTGCTCAGCAACACCTTTCTCTTTTTGCTTCAGTCTCTCAACCGCTACCCATGCCGAAAGACTGAGGCAATTCCAAGATCAGGGAGTGGGGGAGAAAGGGAGGAGGAGCGAAAGGAGGCTCTTTTTACAGTGGTTGCTGGCTGCGGCTGCCGCGCGCTCACTCGCTGACTGAGCAAAGGAGTGAACGATCTTCGGGAAGCTGGCCCCGCTCCGCGTTCGCGCAAGGGGCAAAGAAGCTCGCGCCCTTTTGCAGGAGGGGCCAACGTACAGTAAACACCGTGCGAAGAACTCCCAGCCGAGCCGCACGCACGACACGAAGGAAAGAAAGTAGACTAAAAAAATATCCGCGTTCCATCAATCCTCCCCCTCTTCTTTGCTAAGATTACAAACAAAACTTTTTCCTCCTAGCGCACATCTCACACACTTCCTCTTGAGTAGTTGGGCAAACCAATGAAAAGTAAGAGGCGGGAACTATAAGAAAGAAAAAAGTACTGGGTGTGGGGGGAGAGGCTCTATCTGCGTTGCGTTCAGGTGGAGTTTTGTACCTGTCCAGTGCCAGTGATGGGAAGGGCCAGAAATTCCTGTCCAGCTGGCTGAGTTGAGTAATACGCATGTGCGCTTTCTCGTGCACTTTTAGGGGGCCGCCGCCTATGGTTTCGTTTATCTGCTGCTGCTGCCACAGTGACGGCGCTACTGATTTACCTGCGGCTGCGGCTTTCCCGCTGTTCCAAGAAATCAGATTAAATCTGTGCTAGCAGGAGAAAAAAAAAAACCAACATGTCATTAGGCAGTCTGTACTTTGGAGGAAAGCTGTAGCTAAACTGAAGTGGAGTCAGGAAACAAGCTTACTGTCCAGAGCAGCTTGTGCAACACCTTGGCCAGTCACTGGATTCCAGTGATCTTTTGAAGCCATTCCGTTGTGTAAAAATAAAATCTTGTTACATCTTGAAGACTTAGAGCTCTTCCAATTGCTTTGTCCTTGAACTGGCAGAAAATTACAGTGGTGTAAATTTGTTTGGCAATCCTTATTTTACTATAGACAGTACTAGCAAATTGTGGTGGTGTTATTAATGAATCCAGGCCATGCAAAGGAATGAGATTGATGGATTATTCCTGAGATTTGTTTTTATCCCATTCCACCAATCTACTAGTTAGTACATTCAAACAGAGCCTAAAATATTAATTCACATTCCAAGTAGTCTAGGTCTAGGACCCTGTTGCATTCTTTTCAGATATCATCTTTTCAATGATTTGTAAAACATAATTATTTCTTTCTTTGTATATTTGCAATGGATAAACAACTTTTCTTCCAGTAGCCCTGCACCTGCTGACCCTAGCTACTAGCCTAGCTACCCTAGCAACAACACTGCTGAATTGTGTGGCCCATTTATCACCAGGTTTCCAGCTACTGCAACACTAGCACAGTCCTTATTGATCAAGGACCATGACCAATCTGGTAGGTAAAATTGCATCTCACCATATTATTATATGCCTGTTTCTGAATCTCATTACTAAAGTTTCGATACACACAGAGATATACAAAATGCTTTTCCAAACCCATTTTTTTAATTGAAGAAGGCTGAACAAGAGAAGCTAGGAAACCCTGTTTTTGTGTTGTCTTACCATACTTGATCTGATTGAATTTTATGTTTTCACTATGTCCATATATATTCTGTTTGCTCAGCCTTAAAATGGTTATTAATGACTAATAAATATGGCAGCATCAGATTCATGATCCAGTTCTTGATTTCCTTGAAATCATATTTGGTCACTTATCTAGTTCATCAGTCGAGGAAGGTATATACAGTGTATAATTTTCTACCTCCATCTTCATGCTTTTCATTTGGATTTGAGAGTTGCCTGTGTACCTTCATCATACCCAGGAAACTTTTTATTAGGATACTGGGCAAGATTATTCTTTTTCTAGGCTTTTTCATTGTGGATTGTTCTGGTAGATTATCAGCAAACAGAAATAAATAAGGATGGGTTAGAGAACAAAATGTCTCCTATGCTGTTCACCACAATCTGCATTCAAAGATTAAAAGGGATTTCTTTCATTACAGAGAATTGTAATAGAAAGATAATATTGGGCAAAAGGAAAATTTTGAGAAAAAAATAGTCAAGAACAGCTCTTCTTTTCCTAGTTTAACAGGAACTGTAGTTTCTGTTCCTGTATTTATACAGAGTTTACAATATATTTTGGCAGTCAATAACAGTTATGATTCTTTTCCTTACTACTTACTCCAAAGCTGTAAAGACAGTTTGAAAAGGAAAACAAAATAGCTATTCCATGAGTAAGAACAGTATATTACTGTTTAAATATTGTAAAAGGAGAAAACCACTTAGGGAATCTATTGGATAAAAGTGATGCTAAAGATACGTTAAAGGGAAATAATGACAGTACAAGCAAACAAAATAAAAAAGTGCAGAATACTTTCTTGAAAAGGATAAAAAGCAGAAACCATTAAAAACTAACCTTCAAATAAAGAATTTGAAAAACTGAATTTAATAGTAAATAGTAATTACAAGAGATGAACCTCTACATTTTTCTTCTATTATTAAAAAAAATAATGGTAAGTCAATATTGTATTCTCTATGAAAAACATGCAATTGCAGACAAATTATAGAAGTAAAATTTAAGAGTATTTATCTCTAGAGATAGGTTGTGTTTCAAAGATGTTATGAATGAGGAATAAGTTCTATTTGTCTAATTTATATAGCTGCCCATCTCACCACTGGCCAGAGTACAAGTTTTATCTGACAAGACTGAGATTGATTTGAAAATGAATTTAAAATGGCAAATTACAAGAATGGAAAAAGATTTTACAGTGACATACACAAGAAACTGGATCATATGTTAATTATTAAAATGGATATACAAATTACAAACCAAGAGTGTCATCTGGATAATTTTCTTATATTGAATTTACAAAAGAGGCTTGTTAAAGACTTGAAGGATCTTATAAGAGGGGCAAAGAAGAAGTGAAAAGATGTCAATTTTATTTTAAGTGACAAAAGATCAAGATTGTTAGAAGTAAAAGGAATGCATACAAAGTTGATTTATTTGATCAAGGGTAAAAGAGATATGTTGTTATCTCTGGTAAACTCTAATATCAGGATTGAAATTTTATGAATTTGCTTATAAATAAGGGATGGGATATGTGAAGAATAGATTATTTTAAGAGAAGGTGATTAATTACTAAAATTAATGTGACTTCACAAAAGAGTGAAGTTGCAATTTAGCACCCTTCCTCAAGTCAATTTGTGACTCAAATTTTGAGAGAACCTATTTCACTCCCCCCTCCCCATCAGCAAACTATTGTTCTGTTTCTGTTCTTTTAAATGCTGATGCTGCAGCAATATACTCTCTAACCCTTGAGACAGACGCTCTGTCCTAAATTCCACACCTGTACAATGCTAGTTAGATGGACTGTATGCAGCCCTGAATGCAACCCACCCACCAATCTTTTTTTAAAAAGGAATAAATGTAGAGATTCCACTCCTCAAAAGATATGTTTCTGAACATCTTTTAAGTCTTGCTGCTGCACTTCCACTATTACACTGGCAGCAGAACAGCTGATTAGCAATCCAGGTACTTTGTTCTGGCCCACAAAGATTTGTAATTTATCAAAGTGGTCCTTTTCTCTTGCTGTGTTGGGCAGGGTAGTTTATCTATTATTTTGGGGAGGATAAATTTGACATATTCAGAGACTGCCCTGTAGCTTTCCAAGCATGGAGAAGTGGTAACAATAACGTAGAAATGTTACCACCAAAGCTAATATACTTTCAAGCACAATTGGTACTTTAAGTTATTTTACGGAAATAACTCTGTTTGTGGTACAATGTCAATTTTCAGAAATGGGATTGTGAAGTCCTGCTATATAATATACAGATTTGCTACTCCTGAGCTAAGTTCAATAAGGACAGTTCAGTCTATATTTATAAATTCTTTGTGGTGTATCAAATTCCCTCGTGAAATGGAAATGAGGCCTAATTTCAATGAAAACTTGTGTCTGGTTTTATTGCTTGAAATACTGGACTGAATTACTTTTTTAAGGCAGTATTCTGGAGACCTTGAAGTGCACCTTTATGTCTTTATAGGAAAACAGACATTAGCACAGATGTAAAACATTGCTCTTTGATCCTAAGAACCTGAAGAGAGCTTGGAGTGAGCTGAAACCAAACATTGTTGATACCAATATCCAAGCACAGTCTAAGCAAAATTTCAACATTTACACGAGCAGACCAGTTTGGCACACCATTCTCCCATGCCAACTGTTTAGAAAACAATTATTGTACCAACATGGAAGACTTTGTACCCTCACTACCACAGTGCTTTCCTAACTTTGTTAGCAAGACGGAAGATTCAATAATATATCCCAGAGGAATTTATTTTTTGGTGGAAATAGAAACAGTATCCCATGTGATCTTGGACTGTCTCTTTTCATATATTTTAGCACCCAGGCAATGTTATTCTCCCATTCTCATGCCAGCATAGAAAAAAGGACTCTTCCAAGTGGTCAGGTCACCAGATGTTTCTAGAAGAATCCCTACATATGTTGCAACTTATGATATTAGACCTGATGATTATGGTATTTTTGATACCTCTTTCTTTTTAGGTATTTTTGTTATTTACACGTTTGTTTCTTCAGGATATCAGTTTCCGTGTTTGTCAAGTCCAGAGGTGGTATTCAGCCAGTTTGTACTGGTTCAGGCAAACTGCTAGTGGAAATTTTAACTGGTTCACTGAACTGGCAAATATAATCTCTGGCTGGCCCTGCCCCCTGCCTGCTTGCTTCCCCGCTTGCCGCTAACCCCCACCCGCCCACTCACTGCTCGACCTGCCCACTTGCTGCTTACCCTGCCTGCCCTGCCCCACCCTGCTCTATATATGTTGTCTTTGCCATGTGGCCCAGCTAATAGCCTTGCCTCTGCACCTCGCCGGCTCTGCTCACCAAAGGTAAGCATGCCGCCGCTCTTCCTTTGCCTTGGATCAGGGCGGAGGCTCAGGGATGCCCCATTTCCTGAGGCCCCAGAGACACTGCCCACTCACCATTCACCTCAGCCAGGTCGGGGAACATGCCATTTCCCAGCTCTGGCCTTCCCCAGAGCCTCCACCCGCTCGCCATTCACCTTGGCTGGGTCGGGGAATGTGCCATTCCCCAGATCTGGCCTTCCTCGGGGCCTCTGGCCTCATGCCACCCGCTCGCTCTCCACCTCGCTCACCTTCATCCGTGCCTTATTAGGGGGGACATGGCAAGGCTCAGCTACCTTTCATGAGAAGCCTCCAGCCACGAGTAGTTTTTGGCTGCCCTCCGAGCAGCTCTGCTGTGATACCATCCCTCCGGTGCAGCAGGCTGTTCTCCTGGCTGGATCTGGCCGCAAGCAGCACCGGCAGCCAATGGGGTGCGTTTGTGCAGCCAGTGTGAAGAACAGGGCAGGACGATGGCGACAAGACTTTA